CACAGCCCGCTCCCTGCAGCGCTGACTGCCCGCCTGGCCTCACCTCTGCTCTGCGGCTTCCAGCCGGCCCAGGGCCTCCTCCAGGTCCACGCTGTGCTCCAGCTCTGACCTCCGCAGCCGGGCCTCAGTGGTCTCCAGCCGGGCCTGCAGCTGCAGAAGAGCGAGCCCACGTGGCTGGCCGCTCCCAGCCCAGCAGGCATGGCAGCTTTGGCACAAGCCCTCGAAGGTGTAGGAGAGGCTCCTCTGGGGCGCCTCGCAGGGCTGGGTCCAGGCTGGTCAGGTGGCTTGACGTGCACACTCTGCCCCTGGGCCAAGGGTGCACGGCCAGCTGAGGGGGTGACCTCCAGGGTCTGGGTCGCCAGACCATGGGCAGTACAGCCAGTGGCAGAGCAGGCCTGGGGTCACCCCACATGAGAGTGAGTGAGCGTGGGGTCCCACCTGCCTGTGCTCACACCTCTGTCTGCTCCCAGCAGGTGGGAGGGGACTCCCCCACACCCACCATGTTGGGCCTGCAGGGGAGGGGAGCCATCCAAGCTGGGTGGCACGCTGGAGTCTGAGCAGATGGGGACCCTGGGGCTCTGAGGGGCAAAGGAAGTGCTGGGGAACCCCCCACACATGTGCCCTGACTCAGAGCACACTTTGGGGTCTTGGGGAGGGGCTCAGGCCTAGCAGGCAGGCTGGTGGGGGGCGGAGCCGCAGGAGGGTCAGGAGAGCCAGAGGCCACACCTGGGGTGTGACCTGGGGTCAGGCGCGTGGGGTGGTGAGGGGTCCTCCTCACCACCAGCTGGATGAGCGAGGAGGGGCTGGAGGGCCCAGCTGGAGCCAGGGGCTAGGGCAGGGGCTGCCCCCGCCCCCATGGAGGTGCCAGGAAACAGTCACACTGGCCACCTTGACCCCCACCACCCCCTGGCCATCTGCTTGGGGTAACTTGGGGGAGGTGCAGCCCCTTCTGGCTCTACACAAGGGAGCCGGGGTGTGTGCGGAGTGGCCGGGCCTGCGAGTTCAGATCTGAGTCACGAGGTTTACTAATCTGTCTGCAGGATTTCTGCGGCCTCTATTCCCACAGGCCCGTTCCCAACATCTCCCCACCCTGTGCTAGGAAGATCCCCACCCCCACTGCCAGCCAGGCCACAGATGGCCCCAGGAGGGCAGGCGAGCTCATGGATGGACCGGAAGGATGGACGGACGAATGGGCTCCAGATGAGAGGGACCCTAACTTCACAGCCCTGCACCAGCGCCCACTGGGAGTGCAGGCCCGTGAGAACGGGTGTTCACAGTGTGGGGGTGGGGCAGAGGGCGCCTCTGTGGGTCCGGTGATGCCACCTATCCCTGGGGCCCTTGGGCACTTAGCACTGGGCACTTGTCACTGGTCAGAGTCTCGGCCCCGGTAATGGCAGCACGGCCTTGGGCAACTCTGGCCCACGCTGAGCCTCCATTTCCTCATCTGGAAAGGGGGGTCATCTGTCGTGCTACGAGGGTAAGAGGAGCTGAAGACAGCAAAGGTGGAGGCTGGGCCAGACCCAGCAGGGCCTCTGAGCCCCTGTACTGTGAGCAGGCGCCCCTCGCCCAGGCGCCCCTCGCCCAGGCCTGCCTCAGAAGCTGGCGTGCCCTGGAGTGGCAGACATGAGACAGAGGCTCCAAGCAAGTGTCTTCACTTCTCTGCCTCCGTGTCCCCATATATACAATAAAAGGCCCCCCACATACGCTTTGCAACCTAAGGGGCCTCTTGCTGCAGCTTGCCAGTCGCCCTGGAAAGCACAGAGGACCGAGGACCCAGGGCCAAGGGTCACACTTGTCCCTGAGGCCTGTGCCAGCCCCCCGTCGGGAAGGGCTGGGGGCTGGAGGCAGATTCAGTTCTTCACAAGCTGGGTCTTGGGGTTGGGGCCATTTTCCTGCAAGTCCGTCTCCACAGGGGTCAGTCCTCCCAGCTTGCCTTTCTCCGCCTTAAGCGGGTGCAGGCTGAGTGCTGGTGCTGTGCTCACGCTGGCCCAACGGGCAAGACGGACCAGGCCACCCCACAGGTCTTCTGGGCAGGCGGACACAGGCCAGTGCCTTAGCTGGGCTGTGAGACCAGGGTGGCCTGGGTGCCCTCACCTACCTCTAGCCTCAGTTTCCCCGTTGTTGCCCATGGTTTGGACTGTGACTGATGCACTGTCATTCTGCATTCTAGGACTCGCTGATGGTCTCCCTGGTCCTACCGCCAGTCCTGATAGTGACCACCTCCCCCTGAGCCAAACTGCCACCCTCTGGCCTGACATGTGCCCACTGCACACACGTACCCGCTCACTGACTGCATGGTGCCAGCTGGCCAGCTCGTCCCGCTCGGCGCCCGCCTGGGCCAGCAAGTCCTCCAGCCGGGACAGCTCCTGCTGTAGGAGCTGGTTCTCTTCCCGCGCGCTGGCAGACGCGGCCGGCGGCTCCCGGACCCCTGCAAGCGTGCAGGGTCAGCCTGGGGTCACCCCAGCACCCACCTCAGCACAGCACCCTGTCCTCCATGGTGGGACTTTGACTGGTCTGTTCCAATCTTTAGGGGAGGGGGTGTCCCAGCTCTGACCCCTGAGACCTGGGTGGGGGGTGGACTTCACACTCTGGGCTTTGCTTCCTCTCCCATCAGTGCCCACCTCCCTGACTTTTATCAACGCCTTGACCCCAGTAGGGACCCATGTCCAAGGTGATCCCCAAACCAATTACAGAGGCGTGGGGGGCCTGGGCGCTGGGTGTCCCCGCCCCCGGGAAGCAGTGGGAACTGCTGACTCAGTGTAACTGGATCTCATCTCCGGTAATGAGCTGCTTTTCTAACCACACGCGGGGTTTCTCTCAATAACCACAGCAGAGCTGCCCGGTTCCTTCAGGAGGCGGGATAGACCGTCATTAGAGAAGCTGTCCTGCCTGGGACACACGCGCAGGGGAGGGAACTGGCTCGGAGTCACCATCACGCACTGGGCCCGGCGCCTGCCACTGGGTGGCCTCCCTGCAGGAACACAGCCTCCGAGCCAGTTCCTCAGCCAACAAGCGACAGTTAGGAGGCACCTTGAGGGGGCCAGCGTGGCTGGGTGAGCAAAGGGGTACGGGGGTGGGGTGGGGCGGGGCTGCTCGGCCTCCGTGCTCCCTGAGTGCCAACCCTAAGGATTTTCACTCATCTAATGAAAACCAAATGCACCTGAGATCAGGACTGGTGGTCACACATAGGTCACAAACACAAACGCAGCCTGGCTTGGGAAGATCCCTGCGGCCTAACGCGTATCAACACATGACCCCTGTGGGCTACCTTGTAGGGGTGTGGTTCTGTGCCCCTTCACACTAGGAGGTGACAGGCTAGGAGGGCCCCGTCAGGGGATAGTGGGCTTGGCTTCCGGAAGCTGGGCTCCAGTTGAAGGCTGGGCAGCTTTCCTGCTGCCCCCACCCCTACCATCCCCACCATGTCCCTTCACCTTGGGGTGGCTCCTCGCCCAGGCTGCTGGCCACGATCTCACGGATACGGGCAGGCACGGGGGTGGGCAAGGCCCGCCAGCCTCCCCCACGCACGGTCAGTGAGCGGTCTTCTCTGCTGGCCGTGGGGCTCAGGACAGTGTCCTCCAGCCTCTGCAAAACACCCACCACAGACACCTGGGCTGGGCGGGCCCTTGGACAGCTGTCAGACAAACACCCCCATGTAAGCCCACTGGAGTTAGCGGGGCCGACCACAGGGCACCCTCATGGTAGCGGAGTGCTCTGGAGAGGCCTGGGTGAGGCAGAGGTCACCCAAAGCATGTGCCTTGGTTTCTCCACCTGCCCAGTGGCACCCCGCCTGGCCCGGCACTGCTCTGGGCACCGGTGAGAAAAACGTGAACAGCGTGTCCTCAGAACACCTAGCCCAGCTTGTCACCGCGCCAGGCCCTTTGGCCCTGCTCCACCTCTGCGGGAGGCTTGCTGAGCACTCAGGGGTGCACTTCCTCAGGGGTGCCTGGTCCTCAGGGCCCCCAACCTCTCGCCCAGTTGCAGTGGGCAATCTCACAGTTTTCACAGTGGAGGTGGCAGGAAGGGGCCTGAACCTCACCCAGTGGCACAGAGCCTGTGGCAGGGAGGGGCTGACAACTGGTGGAAGGACAGAGGCTCAACCCACACCTCTCTTTAGAACAAGTGGCCCTGTCCACTGGAGGGGCACAGGCGGGCGCTGGGAGGGACAGGCAGTGGGAGGACAGTCCAGAGCAGCTGACCTGTCATGGAAAAGGTCCTGGGTGCCCAGAGACTGGTCCTGGGGGGCTTGGGCTCTGAGCTGGCACTCTGCCTTGACCGTGGGGATCTTTGCTGCCCTGGGAGGCACACCTGGGGACGGGCTGGGGGTGCCCTCAGGGGCCGTTTGGCTGGGTGTAAGAGTGGTGCTCACGGAGAAGACGTTCAGGGGCCTGTGGACACAGGGGCTGAGGCAGCCATTGAGGAAACCGCTGGACAGGAGTGGGTGCGGCCAGACAAGACCACCCAGGACTAAGGGCAGGTCACAGCTCCCCGCCCTGCCACGCGCAGAATGTCTGATTTTAAGGCAGTGAATTAAACATTAAGGGGTGACCGGATGCTTCCCCGGGATCCCGAGGACGGATGGCCACTCCCTGTGACTCTCCAGGGCAACAAACCAGGGTCCTGCTGTCACCCCCCTCAAGCCCCAGACTTCCCAAACTTGCCAACGTATGTCCAGATGCCCCGTCTCCAGGACCCCTCTCCCCGTGGCCCCTCAGAGCCGCTGCATGCTCCCCCACAGGGCATGCTCCCCCACCCTGTGGCTCCCCAGTCTTCCTGCCAGACCGGGGTCCTGCTGGTGACCACTGGGCAGCCTCCTCCCTTGCTGTCTTCCTCCTCCTGTGACTTTTCCTGGCTCTCCCCGAAGACCTCTCAGTCTTGACCCCCCCACCAGGCTCTGGTCCTCATGCCTGGGCTGGTGGGGGCAGAGGGCTTCCTGGGGGCCCCTCTGCTCCCCCCAACCTGTGGCCCTGGGTCACTCTCACACCATCCCCTCCTCCTGAGACCCCGGCCTGGCCTGTGCCACGCATGTCTACCATTAATGCTCCCTGCTCCTGACTCTCTGCGAGGACCAGGCTGCCAGTCACCCCAACCCGGCTCCTGCATGACACCTGGGAGGTAGCAGCCCAGTGACAGGCAGCCAGGCCTGCTGGACTGCACCCCACTGCCCTCCGGAGAGGAAGAGGCCTGGTCCTGGTCCCCCGGAGCTCAGCCCTCCTTCAGGAGCCCTGCGTGTCACCTGGGAGTTTGAATTTGAGTCCCGTAGGAGGTCTTGGGGAGGACCTTCACTCAACGTCCCCCCAGATGACCCGCCTCAGTCCTGCTCTGGGTGGGGCATGACAGCCCCTCTTGGGAGGAGGACAGGATGTGCCCGCTACTCTCCGGGCCACGCAACCGCCCGGTGCCCAGGCCACCCGAGCCTCTCCTGTCCTGGCCGGAGGGGCGGCTGGAAGGGGCTCGGCCACCGACGGCTCTGATCCGTTTGTCCGCACTCGGGGGAACCGAGGCTCCGGGGCGGCGAGAGCCAGCCCAGCCTGCAGGGACGGTCAGCTCCGGGAAGGGCTCCCTCCCAGGCCAGGAAGGCCTCTGCCCCGGCCCCCCTCCGCTCCGCTCCCCGGGGCATCCGCGGCGCCACCCGCTAACGGGAAGGCAGCAGCACGGCCTAAACTTGACTCATTCCTAACGTTTACAGAGGGTCACTTATTAGCCTGGGCGTCCCCAGAGGCGCTGGGGCCTAATGGGTTCCAGCTGCGTCCGGGTGCCTGCGATGGGCTCGGCCCAGCTGGAGCCGAGGGGGCGCGGCTGGGGGCGGCGTGGGGGGGCGAGCTCGGCCGCTCCCCCCCTCCCTCTCCCACCCTCGGGGTGTGAGGCAGCCCCGCTCCCACGGAAACAACGGAGGGGGAGGAGGGGGGGAGGGGCTCCGTCCAGGGCGGGCGGGAGGACTGCGGGGACCCTGGGCCTGGACCCCGCTGACACCGCCTTCCGGGCTGGCTCCAGTCTGGCCCAGAGGGGCT